TCTGGTGTCACTTCAGTGAATCAACAAACATATGAACTCTTGCCCTGTAGTTTCTCCCTCACAAAAAACCCCCAGAAAAAATGATGCATCACCCTCATCCTAAAAGTGATCTGGTGGTTTAGGGAGGTTTTGAACAATTCCATCACAACCTACAGCAGAATTAGTCCGCTCCACTCAGTGGACAGTGAGCATTCGTCAGCAAACTCTGCAGTGAGATTCGACTCAATGGCAGTCAACGTTTCCCCTAATGGGAAACAATTACACACTCAGTGGCTTCTTCAGTGACTTCTGATGAGACTCATTCACTGAGGAAATGGCCACGTAATCATGTGTGTGTAATGCGCTAACGCTGCTTATTGCTCACTGAGTCAGGCTCATGCAGAGCTAGTCAGAGTTTCAGTTGACTCTTTCGCCACCACAAGAGTCTACTGAGATGAAAAATGTGAAGGGAAATAGCTATAAGTGTACAACACGTTCACTCAGAGAGATACATCTATTGTGGTGGTCACTTTAAATGTGTCCACACAAACAAGTCTCCCGCAAAGCCAAATAATTCCTGTTGCTTCCTCTTTCTCAGGAGAGTGACTATGTGAATAGATTACACTGGGAAATAGGCACTTCTTATGATTCATGCCCAGCTGGATTACTGCACTGATGTAAACATACCCAAACTTCTCCTCCGTGGAAGCATTCGGCTTGTCGTTCTTTACTTTACAGATAGATTCTGCCATTTTCTAGAACTTACACTGTTAAAGGGTGTTGCTCTTAAGTTAAAATCAACCTTGTAGTTATCCTTCAGCCCAAAGTCTGATCTCACGAATTAGATTTCTTTTTCACATATTCATACAGTATATTGAATAGATTTTGTAATGCTTAAGCTCTTGCAAACTGCTGCAAAAAGCATAGGAAAGTGTGCATAGGATAATAGTGACAATGGTGTGATTATTATGAACCAATCACAATGTCTGTCAATGCTTATCTTAAAAAACATCAATGACTAATACTGATATTGACATATATATGATGGAATGTTACCGCGCAAGGATTTCACGCCTGAACCTATGCTAAGTCTAATGCCATGTAATCCTGGGGGCAATTAATCACCTCATTGTGGCTGCTGATAACAAAGTTATCTATCATCAGCAGTTACAATTATTTTTCAGATAATTAAATCTACTGTGTATAAAACACTACCCATCTTAGTGCTGCCATCTCCACTGATCTGCGTTTTGAATCCCTCTATGATAAACTAATCTTCTGATGTGAATCACAAAGCTTATGGCTTCCTGATCCACCCATGAGAATTCAGAGTTTGTTGTACAAATATTCTCATTTAGGCTCCGTTACGCAATATTTCCTGGTTTGCATGATGATTACTGATGCTGCATATATCATGTTAGTTATGCATATAAAGCTGATGCAAATAATACGCAACAGTATCACTTGTTATGGCTTCGATTCAAGCCAAAGGCAAGTTCCAGAGTGGTGGTCTAGAGTATTTGTTGGCAAGTTATTCAGAAACCGGTAAATTCTAATGAACCTACCCATTATTTATAATGTTGCTCATCAAGGACAAGCATATAGGAAAATCACATAGGATTATCTAGGCTGGGTAAAACCAGTGCATCAATTGATTTAACTCTTTTAATTTTTTTAACTTTAAAAAACACAGAAAATGGTACTTCATGAAAACAAAATCGAATTATTGGTCAAACATATTTATATTTTGTGCATGTGAGCATACTGATATTGATTTAACACTGTGTGTAAAAAGACTGAAATACTCAAAAGTGTTGTGATAGTCTTTTAGCTCTTTGGTTGCCTTCCTCAGACTACTTCAGCATTATCTATTCAACAAACCATTTTGTTTTGACAATAACAAATGGCTCTAAGTTTTTGCAGCCCCGACATCTCAGAAATAGAAATATATATATATATTTAAAGAAGTATTCATCTTCTTGCTCCCTTATAGTTTGGAAAGATGGGAGCACACAGAGATATGGAAGAAGACCTGTGGTGCTATCTGCCTTCAGAACGTCTTTTGTTTAGATGCATATAACTTAAATGTTGCTTTTGTCCTGCTCACAAAGAAGCAGTTTGGTACTGAGTGCTGTACTTCATGTGTTTGCTGTTGAGAAATCCTACTTTTACATAACATAACTTGAATGACACTGTAGAACCCTGTGCAGACAGAGGCAGGCAGATTCAAGATTTAGTTTATTGTTTGCGATTGCTTTTCACGAAATGAGTACATACTGTTCATTTTCTCCAGAGCCATGTAACATATGCCCAAGGACCAGCATGTTCCTTGCTGTAGCCTTCAAACACGGCTTGATTATTTCACAGGAATACTCTCATTCAACATAAAAGTAGAATAAAATCTCTGAAAAAGAATAAAGAAATGATTAACGAAAGTCTAAGTTGGCTATGACTAACAAGCAAATTCTCTGTATAGGACACGTATTTAAATCCTAAACTTCCTTCATCTCTGCAACATGTGGCTGGGACAGTTTATCATACTGAAGGTTTATCTAAGTGTGGGGGAGAAGTGCTTTGCTGCAGGGAGAGATTGCCTTTATACTTGCACGGCACCAACAGAGCAAAACAATGTGCCGCATGATAAAAAATTGCTTCATAACTCTCACATTGTGTGTCTGGCATCATTATGAGGCACAATAGCCTCTGGAGGGCCCCGACTTTTATTGGCGTGCCTCTTGCAGCAGCAAAGTCTCATCCATTAAACAAATCAGGGGGTTATGTATTAGATTAGCTGTACAGCAGGCACCGGGGAACGCCTTGAAGAACACATGAAACCTCGTCTCATTCCCTCTCATAATCCCCTGGAATAAATTACCTAATTGACAACATTAGGGTGATACTGTCAGAAGGTGCCTCTTAAAGTGTAATGTATAATGAAAACACACAACGTTGCTAAATTGCATTTTTGGTATTAAAAATGATAAACGGCAGCCATTTGGGGCATATTTAGAGCGAAGCCTCTCCTCGTAGCATGCTGCCAGATCTCATTTTTCCATATTTCTTAATAAATTTGTGGTGTCAGTGATATTAAAAGCTCATTTCTGCTGAGGAATATTTAATAAAGCGGCTGTGTGATAGGAAGCCAATGTCACACAGAGAGTCAGGAAACTAGTTGGTGGCAGCTTGGATGGCCCACCCCCCACTGTGTCACTCTGCTGGTCCCATGACCTATGAGGTGAGAAATGGACTGCCCCCCACTGGCGAAGGGTCAATACTGCAGCAGAGGTTCAAGAAGTGCCCCTCACAGTTCAGTGCACTATTCATTTTGCAACCAAGCTGAAAACAACAGAGCCTTTTGACTTTCTTCAAAGTGAAAACTGTCTGCATCCCATTTTCTTAAAGTGTTGCGTACACTTGGCTCAGGGAAGTTCAGCTCACTGTTCCAGGATCAAAAAAAGCACCGGGCCAGGCAGTGGGTGTGTGTGTGGGCACTGGGCGAGCGGTATGCCTCCCTATTAGAAGAAAACAAAAGCCTTGAGTGATTTCTGGGGAGAAGTGACCTGTTTATAGGATGTTTATTGCTCGGGCATATACTTTGATGTAATGGAAAATGAAAAGGAAGGTAAACTGCCTCCTCCAGTCATAATAAAGCTAATAACCACTTTCAGAAGAGCATAAATAGCATCATTTGTCCCTAAAAAGACCCCACTATGATAAAACAGGCTTACAGTTGATAGTATATGTTATGGTGGAGAGTCTTCTGTTTTTCATCTCATATAGTGGCTTAATTATCAAAAGTTGAAGGTAAAAAACAATTATTTTACCCTTTTATGTGAATAAATAAATTGAACTAACCCAAAATACATGAGAAGTGAATGAATCTGATAAATAGATACAATATCTATTGCATTTTATTTATTTTCCTTACTGATTAACCAAGTCTAATACGAACATTAAAAGTATTGTATGCCCTTTCGGACTCTGGTTGCACTTGTGTGTGTGCCTGTGTTTGTGTGGAGAGAACATGGGGTGGGGGGACAGTCAGAGTGCATGATTTCTGTCCAGATGTGTGGACATATTGTAACTCCGGGAGGTCTTCACCCTTCTCCAAAAGTGTAAAAAGTATAGGAAACAGCTGGGTCAGAAAGTAATAACCTTTTGTCCCATTGTTTCCTATGCTCCCATTATCTTAGTTATTTTTCCGCCACTGCAAAGACACAGCTTTCAAACTGTTACAAATACCTCAGTGAGCACAATAATATCACTATCTAAATGTTCTATTTGACTTTTATTTGTGTCATTTACACTGAGCCACCCCTGGGGGAAATGATTACCCTGGATATGGAGAGATATTGCCTTCAACAGTAATGCACTCTGATAGCTGAGGAAAAATTGAAATCTTTGCTTAAGATACAGCGTGAAAAAAAAGGTGTGGGGTTATAATTTTGCTGTCAAAATGTCTTCTCTTCCTTGCCTGATCATGTTTTACAACAGTCTTATAAAATGAAGCAACTTTAGATAGGAGGAATAAATATTTAGTCACCGGATCAAAAGCAAAAAGACAATTTAATTCTCTATAAACCAGATAATAATATAATGAAATCTACTCTAACTCTAGGCACTCTCACTACACTCCCAAAGTACAGTGCTGACAGTTCAGTTCAGTATTAAATCAACAACGCTTCCAATATGAGACTATATATTATCAGATCTGGATAAGACCTTCAAAAGCGCATGGGGCAGCCACCTATAAGTGATACTCAGCTCTATTTCACCCATTACACCTATAAATCCTTCTCGCAGCATTTATCTTTACTGTGTTCAGTGTGACAGGTGCAACGGAGCCGACGCACAGATTCACGGGGTTTTGGCATCTTGTGTCAACCAATAGCAGCGCGTATGCAGTTGTGTCTGGCGGGGTTTAGGGTGATCGTCGGGCACCTGTGCCAATCACAGAGTCTTGTAGGAGGAGTTCAGGGGCTCGGAGGTGTGTCTGAAGATTACGAGTCTACAGCTGCATACTGTATCCAAGTCGGGGAGTAATGGCATGAGTACTGCTTTATAGTGTTTAGACAAGCTTTACAGTGCGCGCGTTGGAAACTAATATTCGACTATTTTGCCTTCACGTCAGTCACAAATTAGACCTGCAGGCGCGGAGGGGCGAGGCGGAGGACATCTCGGACAAACTGTAAACTTAGTCAAAAGCGACTGAAGTCCCCAAACTCACAGGCTGAAGAGGCTTCAAGCGCAAACGAGTCATCCTTTCTGGCTGTTTCAAGGAAGGATACGCTGCTGGACATGTGAATTTAAAAGGAGATACTTGCCAAGCACAACAATGAAACCAACGACTTCCCCGTGTGGCTTCGGCTTTCTCCTGACTTGCCTCTTGTTCGGATCGAGCTCTTCGCAATCAGGTGAGTGAAAGCCATCCGTCTGTTCACCCGGTGCGCAGTTTTTTGTGTATCAGTGGAGCTGGTCGGCGCGCACTGAGCGCAGTGGCACAACTATCTATCCAGCATACTTTTCCATTGCTGTTGTTCTTTTTGCACATGTAACAAGGGTGTTTGTGCTTGGCAGATAAATTCCGCACCTCCTGCTGTCATTTTCACTGTCATGCCAGCATCCAAATGTTGAAGACACATCAAAATCACAGCCTAACGTAGAGAGCGCTGTGATACTGAAACACAGGTGTTGGATTTGAGCAGATGGCAGGTTGTAGCAGGACATGTTTGTTGTGATATTGCTGAATGAGTCCAAGCAAGTGACATGCTCTGTCTTCTTTGTGCACAGAGCGGCACTGTTAACTTTGGAGGGAGAGGGCAGCGTGTAATGTCCATCACACGTGTCCTTTTGACAAAGTGTGGACAAACGCAGACGAGTGACAGCCTCGCTTTACAACAGGCTACTGTGCTCTTGTCTTCCCTCCTGTGGATAGACAGGCTGTCTGATGCACGACTATGTTTCAGAAGTTCCCTCTTGACTCTGTTCCTTCTTCCCCTCCAGACTAGTTTTTCCCTAAATAACAATGATAGTATGGGTAACAAGCTGCCACGTCTGCATCATGTTTTCATTTATTTGAAAAATCGGTTTGTAGGACAGCGGGTTGGATAGTTATACCCTTTTTTACGCGTTGTCATTGCAAGGGCACCCATTTGATCAAACAATTTTAAGTTGGAAGTCCTGCAGGGACTCGTTTGGAAACAATATATTGTGTTTTGAGCTGATCTGTGTAACTCTCACCTGCGCAAAGGGCGATAAGAATGGTGAACATTCATACATATGCATTCTGTAATCGGGATAAAAGCAAAGCGGATTACCGTGAAATTACATTATTCCTCATTTTATAGTGCCCCCCCCAGGGATCATGTGGACCACAGTTTGACAGTGAGCGTTGTAGCGCACAGCACTTTCACACTGACAGTGGCAGTACCGTTTGTACAGTGCAGCGGCGCTCTTTACGCACAGGCAAGTATAGTTGAGCGAGTGACCGTGTGTGTGTGTGTGTGTGTGTGTGTGTGTGTGTGTGTGTGTGTGTGTGTATGAGAGAGAGAGAGAGAGAGAGAGAGAGAGAGAGAGAGAGAGAGTGATAGATTACAGGGCTTGCAAATAATAAATATTCGTTGAAGAGACAACAGCGAAAACCACCACCCACCCTCATCCACCCTCATCATCATCATCACCATACATGATCACCTTCTTCCTGGGCAGGACGAGGATTCAAATGTGACCAGAGAGGACAAGAACATGTCCATAATTCACACACGCTTCTATTGTCTTCCTCTGCTTTTAGTGATGGTCAGTGTAAGCCACATGTGTGTGGAACTCTTTCAGCCCCTTATGCAGAGTGGTGTGACTGATGGGGGGTGAAACAGGATGAAACCGTAAATAAGCAACAAACAAAAATACAAAAATCTCAAAAATCTTACCAAATCATAGTGTAACATTGAGTTTTAAACGTTTGGAAGTCGTTCAATTTTATAGATCAAGCCAGTGTTGAAAATCTGAAAGGGATATGAGGTAATTCCACTGTTATCCTTTCTGTGTCAAATTATTCCACACATTATTCCTCTGTTTCTCTGAGTGCTGTTTCATTGCGCCTTGTTGATCTTGCTGCTAAAATCTTAAAAGAAGTGAAACATGTTTTCAAACAATCTCAGTATAACGCAGTCTGTTTTGAGAAAAAAACAACAATGAGACATTTTTTGCAATGTATCCAGTCAAATATGATCTTCGAAGCAGTGAATGCGCACAGTTTAACGCGCGGGCCCACCACTGTAACCTGTGGATAATGAGATCCACGTCTAGTGGAGCCTTAAAGGGAACAGAGAGTGATTGCATTAAAAGGTTGGATGCGGTTTAGAAGAGATAAACTACAGAGGGATGCATGCCATCCTGTCATATACTGCACAGATCAGTGTCTTGTGCTCAAGTGACGAAACACACTAAAAATGAATTATTTCTAACTGTTGTTGTCAAAAAGATGGGCCATGTAGTGTTTGATATGCTGTTTAATCTGTTAAAGGAATGCTGACATGGTCCTTGTCTCGAGGTGACCCCCCTCGGTGCGAAGGAAATGGCGGTTTATTCACGAAACCAGTTTTGGATTTGGCGTAATTTAGAAAAAAATCCCATTGTAACTCTTTGACTTATTCCAGTATCTTATTTGTTAGGAGTGGTGTCTCTTGCAGCGCCTGGCCATATTTCTCAGGATTTCTCTTCGCATGTTTTAGGAACGAGAGAATCCAGCATGAAGGTGACAGTGGCAGACGGACTGATACCCTCCCCTGCTCGAGCTCCAAATCTGGATAAAAAACGTATTTGAGAAGTTAAAGGAACACAAAAGAGAGTCAGAGAGCCACAGACACAAACGTAGCTCGGATTATACAAATATAGGCGTGAACACGGATTAAGTTCTGTCTGCAAGAAGGGAAGGCAACGTGATGAAATATGCGTGCGCTAGTGTGTGCGTGTTTGTGTTTGTGTGCGCACCTGAGCGCGCGAACGATCTGTCTGTGTCGGATTTGTGCGCGTGCTGTAGCCGTGGGTTTGTCTGTAAAAGAAGGGGAGCGCGCACTCATGCTCGCTCACAAGCGCACTGGCAAAATATAGTTGTTTGTTTTTTTCATATTTGGTACAAGCTTATTTCTCCCCTAATTAATGAGTCATTAGAATCGTTACACTGCTTGACGAAGTGGATTACATTTATGTTCGGTTCCATACCATCCTGTTTGTTTTTTCCTCATCTCCAAAAATGTCACCTCTTTTCTTCAGTAACTGTGAAAATCAGAACCTTCTCAAGACCACCATGAGTTTTTTTTTGTTTACTGCTGAGGAGCTTACACATTCCGTACTTTTCCCAGCCCACACAGGGGACCATGTAATCCTTCACACAAAAAATCACCTAAACTGGAGTTAGTAGCAGCTCTTCATTTGACTGCAGCCTTACACTGGAGTTGGAGGATGGAGGTGGGGGGAATGTATACAGCTGCCGATTCTGAACCACATGGCCCCATTCCAAAACTTTATCTATGTTTTATGAATATTCATATATTCTGTGCGCAGGAGTACATTCAACTAATCTGTTCTGAATGCAACTGTGTGTGTGTGTGTGTGTGTGGATAAACTACATTCTTAAATGACCCTGTGTTATAGCTCTCAGCTGTTTCTTCTTTCTTAATTGAGTGTGAGTTTAGTTTGTTGTAATTCTACTCAAAAGGTGGACAGACTACCCTCTAAACATGAAATGGAAGCTGAACGATAGTACCCTCTGCTGCAGCCTTGATTTTATAGTGGCACCCGCTGTTAACTGACTGTGCAGTTCCAGTGTGCAGCTGATATGCGAGTTCATAGTATATCAAAATGTTTACAAGGGCTCGTGTGAGGCACAGAGAGAGACTGATGTAGAAAAAAGGAGACAGGAGGATTTGTTAGTTATGTTTCCCTTTCATTTTTCTCCCTTTTGCACTCTCACAACGCTGCAGATAGACACTCCTTGTACACCATTCCCTCTTGTGTATTTTCTTTTTTCCTCTCCTCTGAAACATAGGGAAAGAATGGTGTTACATTTAGCGGCCCACACAGCTCCGCTTTGTCACAAAGGCCCTCTTACAGTCATATCTATGCCTGCTGTCGCCTGATAAAGGAGCTTTGACCCTCCACTGCCACCAGGCTTTTTATTAGAAGAATGGCAGTCTTTGATTAGGTAGTGATCCACTTACATTTGTTGGAAAACGGAATGTGAACCTCTGTGCTTTCATCTCCTCTATCTCTGTCTGGGTGAGAGATGATGAGCAACTTAAAGCCATCGATCAACTATACAGAAAAATCTATTAAACTAATACAATTTAACACCAAATCCTCTTGTCTCGCATTTTCAAACAGCCAAGATGTGTTTTTAAAGTTGACCAATGCCTGATGACAGATAAGATGTGATTATTTGGTTAATGGGATAAATTATTAAATGTAGATTATATGGTATTATTGCTTTCCCCTCTTTGTTCAGTTTTTGTTGATCTTTCCTTTTAATGACAATGAGAAAAACTAAAATACATACTAATGGTGTAGTGTCCATACCCTGCCATATGTTAGTGACAGGAACAAAAAATAGCCGTAAGACATTTGCTGCAGAAAAGGAATTTTAACCATGTTTTATTGTGTTTTCCTCTCCTGGGGATTTCACCCTGCAGCCAGATAAAGAATAAAAAACCTTCTGTTTGTGTAATCTAGACTGTGGTTTCATTGTGAGACTAGTGGAAACCATTAAGTTTCCTATAAATCTCCCCTCTTCTCAACAAACAAACTGCTTTTGAACCACTGGCATCAATAATACATGTGTAGCACCCACAAAGCGGCCCAAGAATCCCTAATGAAAAATCACTCTAATATTCCAACAGGGACTGAAAGTGTGTGTGCACTGGCCTACTGAAAAGTGAGTCTATGACCTTATTGTCCCTAATGGTGTTTTTTTTTTTTTTTTTTATCTGTTGTGATGTTGCTGTAATATTCTTTAATCAATACCACAGGGACTTAAAACATTTATATTTGTATCACATTCTTCCAAAATGCATTCGATTACCACCAATTTCTTTAAGAATGACAAGACGGAAGCATTATTATTATTATTCCTTTCTGAAGACGTGACTGCAGACATTGTTTTCCAGTTGTGACTAGTTGATGGGCTCATAACCAGTCAGACCGTCTGCAGCCAGCAGAAATGATTGGATCATATCCTATGTGACCTTTACAAGCGCAGCACCGTCATTTATCACCTGCAGTTATAAATGCACCACACATGTGCATGTGTTTTGCCATGCATCATTGTCAACTCAGCTATTAAATGTCCTTTTTGTGAAGGATGTCATAATTGGATTGGAGCATCACCCATGTCTGTACATGCTTCATTTTGCCAGCTGTT